CATTGGGATATCGAATAATTTGCATAGTGGAAATTTTTGAATATTTGAATATCGAATAATATTCCAAGATAGAGATTTTCGAATAATCGACTATCGAATGATTCGAAAATGGAAACTTTCGACTATTCGACTAACGAATAATATTCGAATATCGAATCTATTCGATTTTGGACTGTTCGAATAATCAGGGTCAATGAGGTGACTGCCTATAAGAGACCAAAACATCTAACAATTACCCTAATTTCACGCGTACAAGGCGCAGGGTGGTCCTAGCTTTCATCGACCAGCCCGAACACGGCAAAGGACTTCGCAACCAAAGGAACCCCATACCGTGCTGCGTTTTGCCTGACGAATCGTGTGGCATAAGGACCGCTTCTTAAAACACGTTGGGGCGGCTGAGCAGCTCGATGAAAGCTAAGACCACCCCGCGCCTTGTACGCGTGAAACTAGGGTAGTTGTTTCATGAAAGTATTAAAAATAGACACTTTTTTATGTTACTACAATGAAACAACGGCTTAGTGGTGACGTCAAGAGACTTGAGAACCTACAAGCGTAAATTTTTGGATGTCCTATTTCGCGGTGTTCTATTTTATGCTGGAAGTGTTCCTACCGTGATCCTACAGTAAGAAAGGCATGGGTTTTCTGCTTTTTGCTTATATAGGATGTCCAAAAAAGTGTGCCTACTGTTCGATTGTTAATAACTTTATAGCTTTCTTGTAATGAAGTTTTTCAAGAAGCTTTGAGTATCGTTTTATAGAGCTGGCTTCAACTTAGATTTACGGTATGGAGCAAATCACCGATCGCTTTTCATTACTTTAGGATTACGGTAGAAATTTCAAATATATGATGGCATCGTGAAAGAAGCTGCCTTTTCAAAAATTGTCAAAAAATGTGGAAACTTGTGTGACAGGGTTTTCATGGACGCTGAGTTCAATACACAACTATATACAAGACTAGCTGGCTTACCCGGCTCCGCCGTATCCGGACCAAACTTGGCACACATACACTTCGGGCCCCGGCGGGTGTCACAGTCCACTTTTCGTTATCGATCGATGTCGATTTTACCGATTTTTATCGATTTTTTGCAGAGTTCACCTACAGGGCTAGGAGTTGGCACAGGGAGGTAATCGAGCATGGGGATTCCGAATACAACATTAGTTTTCAGGATCGTCCATTACTTTTATTGATTTTATCGATTATTTTTGTAAAGTTTGACCTGCGGGGCTGGGAGTTTGCACAGGGGGGTAATCGAGCATGCTGTTTACGAACACAATATTAGTTTTCAGGATCGTCCATTACTTTTATCGATTTTATCGATTTTTTTTGTAAAGTTTGACCTGCGGGGCTGGGAGTTTGCACAGGGGGGTAATCGAGCATGCTGATCACCCCCCTGGGGGTGATCAGCATGCTCGATTACCCCCCTGTGCCAACTCCCAGCCCCCTAGCTCAAACTTTGCAAAAAAATCGATAAAATCGATAATAGTAATCGATAATCCCGAAAACCAATATTGTATTCGGAATCCCCATGCTCGATTACCCCCCTGTGCGAACTCCCAGCCCCGTAGCTCAAACTTTGCAAAAAAATCGATAAAATCGATAAAAGTAATCGATAATCCTGAAAACCAATATTGTATTCGGAATCCCCATGCTCGATTACCCCCCTATGCCAACTCCCAGCCCCGTAGGTGAACTCAGCAAAAAAATCGATATCGATCGATGACGAAAAGTAGCCTATGACACCCGCCGGGGCCCGAAGTGTATGTGTGCCAAGTTTGGTCCGGATCGGTTCAGAAATGGAATTTTCTATTCGGAACATACGTACACACATACAGACAGACAGACAGACAGACAGACAGACAGACAGACAGACATACAGACATACATACAAACAGACATTCAGCTTTATATATAAGATTGCGAAGCTTTCTAAACGATGCAATCGCTTTTTTTAAAAATATTGAAAAAACGGCCGCTCGTGCATACCTTGCTTGATTTTCTGATGAAGCATGTTAATAAGTTGCGAAGTTCACATTTCAGAATCAGCAACTCTAGTTAGCCTAATGTGAGAGTTTTCAGGTTGTTTTGTTCCCTTTCTGAAGCAAAATATGGCCTTTCATGGCTCAAAACCGTTTTTAAAGTTTCTATAGTAATCCTACATTAATGAAGGGAGATGGATGATTTGATTCAAACTGTAAATTTAAGCTGAAGCTAGCTCTACAAAATGCTACCTAAGGCTTCTGTGAAGACTTCAGTACAAGAAAGGTACTAACATTCAAACAGTAGGCACATTTTTTGGGACATCCTGTATATAAGCTGATGCCATACCTACAAGGGCCGATAGTAATCTACCCTACCTGGTGACATCATAGATGCCGGCAAGTTGGCACACATCGCGGAAAGATGCCAACTCCGCCGGCAGCTCGCGGAGTGATTGTAGGTTTCAATAATCTTATGTAACCTTGGCACGCAATCATTTCGCACATTAAGTTTTGATGACGCAGACAGCCGCAAAATGCTACCTTGCGCGCGGTCGAACCTATGTGCGTTAGCTTGAACTGCCACCACGTTAACCATTCGACCATTCGGTCAGCCATTGCCTTTTGCACCAGCAATAGGAGGAACGCACTGGTGAATGGCTGCCTATAAAAGGGATCGATACATTGCGTGAGAGACTTTGACCTGAAAGAACAGCTGATTGATATGAGCGAGAGAGGAGCGAAATCGGTGCAAACTGAGATTTATAAGGGACTAGCTGGCTTGCCCGGCTCCGCCGGGCCTGCCAGCTAGACCCGTGTACGTATGTTCCGAATAGAATTGGGACCGAACTTTGCACACATACACTTCGGGGCACGGAGCTTGTCACAGTCCACTTTTCGTTATCGATCGATGTCGATTTTACCGATTTTTTGCAAAATTTGAGCTAGGGGGCTAGGATTTTGCACAGGGGGGTAATCGAGCATGCTGATCACCCCGAAGGAGGTGATCAGCATGCTCGATTACCCCCCTCTGCCAAATCCCAGCCCTCTAGCTCGAATTTTGCAAAAAATCAATAAAATCGATATCGATCGATAACGAAAAGTAGCCTATGACACGCTCCCTGCCCCGAAGTATATGTGTGCCAAGTTTGGTCCCGATCGGTTCAGAAATAAAAATTTCTATTCCGCACATACGTACAGACATACAGACAGACATACATACATACAGACAGACATTCAGCTTTATATATAAGATTGCCAAAACAGTTCGTGTTCTATATGATTCTAAGGCATTAGTGGATTTTTTCTCTGTAAGAAAATCGTTATTTTAAAAAAGAAAAACCCATTTAATGAGAAAAATGATAGTTTTTTCACGGAAAGGTAGAATTTTTGATTTTTTCGCCTGACGTAAATTGTGTGATATTGCCGCAATTCGCAAACTCGCAGACGCCGTCGGCAAAGGTGCCACCACCTCGACGTGGTAGGGGCACGTCGAGATGCCGTCAGCTCGCTCTCTCAAAAGAGCACGCTATTCCCCGTGCTCTCTGACCTGCCGGCAGCTGCCATCTCGCGGATTCCGGCAACCTGCCGGCAGGTTGCCGGCAACTGACATCGCGAAGTTGCCGGCAGCTCCTCCTGGAATTCCAGATATTTTACTAAAGGAGGAGTTCTGGAGCCGCAGATTTTTATGAAGTTTTCTACAGAGTCGAGGCGGCAACTTTATCGAGAAAATTTTTTGAAAAAAGGCCTGGGACGGCCTAAATTTCGGTTCTTAGTTTCTGGCCACCTCGCGGAAAGGTGCCAGCAACCTGCCGACGAGATCTGCCGCCAGGTCGGGGGGATTACTACCGGCCAAGATGTTCACAAAGGCTGGCAAGAGACATCGTGAAAGTAAGCGATCAAACAGTATCTAGCAGTGGCGGTCCCAGGATTTCCGTCCGGGGGGGGGCATCAAAAAGTTTTTCAAATGAAGGTGCGCGGCGCCAGCCACGCCCCCGAAAAATTTTTTTTATAAGGCTAATTTGAATTTTTAGAAAATTTCAAAAACTATTTCAATTGCTTACAAGGATGAACAAGTCACTTACACATGTTGATAACCCACGTAAGTAAATCTCAAAAATTCCGCGACCCATTCTAAGGGGGGGGGAGACCTTCCAAATATTTGATGGACATCGAATAATCGAACTGATGACCATCTATTCAACTATCGAATAGTATACGAAAGTTGAGATTTTTGATTATTCAACTTTCGAATAATATTCGAAAATGAAAAAAATTCGAGTACCCCACTATCGAATATTATCCAAAATCTCAGATTTTTGAGTATTCGAATTTTCAAATTATTCGAATGATTTATTCGAATAAGCGAATAATCATTCGATTCGGTACAAAGTAAAAGGGAGACGGTGAAGAGGCGCGATTTCTCCAGAGGTCATCAGTGTAGCAGAGCAATTTAGGGCTAAGAGAGTTTTTCAAGGATACCACACAAAGTGCATTAACTTACTTATTGTTAGCTGAAGCTACCACTTGCTGATTTTGACGGCTTTTGGTAAAAAAATTATTGAAATAGTCACGAAAATTCCATTATTTGCGTTTTCGCGGCATTTTGACCCCCAACACTTATGTTTGGGATTTATTTCAGAGTTTATTATGATTGAGCAACCCATGGGACAATCATACATATCTTGTTAGAAATCTGAATTGCTCCCAGAATATCGTAAAATACTAAAAATGCGCTAATTGGTGTCCATCTGGCAATAAAAATCGCGGCCTCTTGACTTACCTAAAGTATAGCTATATAAGGCACTTCAAATTACGATACTTGGTTAAGCATGTGATGTAACTCGTCCGACTTTTGTGCGAGCGCCGTGTGACGAAAAGAACACGCGGACGTGCAAGAGTCTACTAAAGATGATTGAGAAATCAACAGCTTAAAAAATTATTGTTAGGGAACACGGCTTTCTTGTGATCTTTTTAAATACGGAATGAACAGGAGGACAGACGTTAGCAAATACGATTTTTCAGGACGATCGAGATCTTGTCCCGGAATTCGTACAGAATGGCGGGCTGGATTGTATGGTGCGCCTTGGACGAGTTGCAGATCAAAATCATCAGAACTACATTTTACGAGGTGCTGCTCAAATCAGTTTTTGATCGAAAATCTCTATATTTTTCTCAACTTTTTATAGCATTGGGGCAAGTAATGCTGTATGTGGATGGCATGAACGGCATCATTGCGCATAATACTACAATACAATGGTTGTATGAGCTATTGGATTCGCCGGTAAATTTGAATTTTCTCTTCTGATCATTATATGTTGTCAGAAACTAAGCGTTGTGTTTGTATACGTTGTCCTCGTTTTGTCTTGCTCAAGTAACTCGTCCATGTCATTGTTCTAGCTTTTCGATGGGACGGAAAGGAAAGAGATGAGTCCGTTTAGACAAGAATGGGTAAGCTAATGAAGCACGAGTAAAGATCGCTTAACTCTATCATTCTCTTACATATTTCCGAATCAGTAACAATCTTTTTTTTGCTCGTTTCCATGTGTGCTGAATGCAAAGTCTGTTTCATGTACCTTGAAACGTTTACCTTGAGTTTACAACTACCACGCATAATCCGCCAAAAAGCCATCGAACTCCACTGCAGTTTGTCGAAAACCGCGTCCAGAATGGACAAATTCTGAATCCAAAGGATTCGTTCGACTCAGCTCGGTGAGCCGCATTCCAGTGCTTGCTTACGGCAGAAGCACGTAGGCGGTCAGATTTCACAACACACTGTGTAGAATACCGCAGACAATAATGTAACGGGCACTTCTATAAATAAGAAGATGCGCCCTCCGAGCTGAGTCGAATGCCTCTGGATAAAGATTTCGTCCACTCCAAACCAAAGTAAGCAATGCGACGCAGCTTTCAATGAAGTCCGGTTGAGTTCGATGACTTTCTTGATGAATTATGAGCGGTATTTTAGTTGACTACCAAATCACTAAAGCCAGAGTGCTCCTAGACCCAAATTTCTGGCTTTTACGTGCCATTTAATACTCATTACTCATAAAAGTTCGCGATAATGTTTGAAGGCAGCGGCTCGGCAGATCGACGACTTTGAAGTATTTGTCGTTCTCGCCTGGATCAGGACTCGACACAGGGCTTGCAAAGCAAGCTGGATATCGTTTTTGGGGGAAAAAGCAAAGGGGACATCGTTTTTGCGGAAGAGCGTAACGCTGTCTGCTGCCGGCACGCTGCCGGCACGCCGCCAGCAAATAAACAAAGGGTTTGTTTACAACGAAGTGAAGATGAAATGGCACCAAAATAGGTGTGTAGATGGGCAATGGGGAGTTGGGACTATGTATGAAAAATTATGGAAAAATTATGTGAACTAAGGGCATGGCAAACTTTTTTCGGGGTTAGGTGGCTTTCAAGCCACCTGGATAGCCACTGAGGTGTCTTAGCGCAAGTCATATAATTTCTATTCTTCACATAATTTTTTCAAATTTTTTACATAAAAGTAATCTACATCTAATATTCTACAAAACAGCTCTTGTACCTCCTCAAACCCTCTCCTCCCCGCCTAGTTATAGCCCTCCAAATTATCTGGATGGCAGCGGCGAAGGTGCTCCAAGCTCGCGGTGGTGCGCGGTGGACACAGCATGCCGCCAACCCGGAGAATACAAACAATCACTAGTTCTTATTGCCTATTTATTGTCGGTCTTCTATTCTATTTCATTCTTTTTGTTTTTATTCTTGATTTGTTCGGTAGCGTGTCAAGAGGGATGTCGTACTTTTGTGGCGAAGTCAAGGGAAACTTCGTTTTTTGCATTTTCAACTAGCCACTTCGTGCCGAGCCCTGGCCTGGATGAGGTGAGTCCAGGACTATGCTTTGCAGCTTCTGAAGATATCGAGAACTCACTCATCCAGACGTGGAAAGTGGCAGCCCGCCCTCTAGAGAGCGAATGGTTCGTGGAGTTCGGATGGATGGAAGCACCCCACAGCGCCCGGCTCGAGTTGGTTTCTAGGGTTGAAAATGGAATCTCCTTGACTTTGGAAAGTTTTAAGAAGTCCCTCTTGACCCTTCTCAGAAATCTATCAACTTAGGAAAAGATGAAAACAAAAAGAGTCACCAGTGTGAAAGAAAGAACGTAAAATAGGAGTAAAATTTCAAAGTGGAGCTGAATACTACGCATGCGCCAAGAGCTTGGCATTGGAGCGCGATGTCTAACAGAGCGATTTATGAAGAAATTGAGGCAAGAACGAAGGAAAGACTACGATATGAATGTCTTCATGCTCAGGGACAGATTTTTGACCGTGACCGGACATGATAGAAAAATTCAGAAATTAGGTGATTTCAAAAAATATATATGCTCCATACGATATGATCTCACATAAGTTTTCGAAACCCACGTAATTGTTTTGTAAATGATATTCTATGCCTACAATCTAGATTTGGTGTCATATGATTGTACCTATGCTATAAACAAACAACTTGTCAATTTTGAATTCGCTTTCAAATCGCCACGCTTTTCGCAAGACATGATGGAACACGTCCATCGGGTAATACCTGTTTTTGAAGCCTGTGTTTGACTGAGTGTCGCTTTTGGCACTGCAGGAAGTGTGTAGAATTGTCTCACACACTGCATGTACAATTTTCCTCCACATACTTCGCTAATAATATGCAAACATTTTTTCCAGATCCGCCCAGGATCCCGCAAAAACTATGTCCCCATTGCTTTTTATCCCAAAAACGAAGTCCATTCTGCTTTTATTTGATCTCCGAGCACTGCACTCCGCCCATTTTGGCGGCAATTAGATTTTTGGCTTTGCCTGGAAAAGCGAGTCATTGATATCTTTAGACTGCAAAGCACAGCATTGGACTCAGCTCATCCACGAGGGTCACGAACGATGACCTCGAAGTTGTCAATCTGCCGAGCTACTCCCACATTGGGTAGCGAGGACATCATGAATGTCTTCATAATTTTCGCGCGGTGTTTCGTTGGCCCTTAGCATTCATGTTTTTTGCTCTAACGGACCCAGTCTATGTCAACCAATCTTTTCCCGCTGCAGCGTATCCGCTGCGAGAGGGTCTTGCGTAGCAACCTTTGATCAATGAGACAACCATGACTACCCAAGGTATGCGCGTGAATAAAGCTTTAGCGTGGCGCTGGCGGGAAGAGTACATGGTTGAAACGAACTGATGTACAAAAAATAGTCGAATGAAAGGCATGCAAGCGCTTTCTCTTCTACTTGACGCTGCAAGACTGTTTGTATGGATGTCTTCATGTTACATGGTAAAAATCACTAACCCAAGCTTCCCAATAATTACTAATTTTGCATTGAATGCGCCCAAAAACATTGTTAAAAATTAGTGTTCAGTTTCGACTTGTGGTGAAGACAGCATTGAAGCTGTTACTGGTGTTCATAGAATACAATGACAATAACGCACTACTAGTACTTGCAGCTATATCGGCCGTAGATCGTTCTAAAGGTGAGTAAAAATCATTTCTTGTAATCACACACAATGATCCCAATTCAGGCCAACAAGATTGGAGCGCAATGATGAAGGTGATATCAGAAAAAGATACGCCCGATCCGGAAACTCTTGTTTACGGAATGACTGTTATAAATAAGACGCTCAGAGGGATACCGGACAGTGTTGGTTTCATGCATTGTGATTTTCTTAGAATTAACAGAAACAATAATTCATAAACAATTTTTTGAAAACGGGCTTTTTCGAAACGCTAGCTATAGCGGCGCGTCTCTGATTGGTCAGATCGAGCTAGGATTGATCAGCTGGCGTGCTCGTTCACATATGTACACGTATTCAACATGTGCTAGACTAAAGGAACCACGATCAGCCTCTTTCTGATCGGGCCTTATAAGTTGCCCCCACCTAATTAGTAGCCTCACCTGCAGCACAGAACCCATCAACGAGATATACATTTATGGGCAAGCGTGGAACAATACACCAACATCAACAAAAATACGATCGAGATCAATTAGAAGTGAGGATCCTGAATGAAGCACGAGAGAGGGTCTGGCGACCCAAAGACGACACGTCACCGGACGTCCATTCACCGTACTGCCATACCGTTCCGCCTCTGGTCTTTATGCCCTGCTCGTCGCGTTATCGCACCATCGATCTGTAAGCAAAGGGCGAAGAGAGAGCCTGGGAGAATAAACACATAGCTTACGTAAAGGCTAGGAATTTGAAAAGATTTGAGAGATCTCATTGTTCACCCTGCGCTCTTACAATAGCACATTTGAGGAAACTCGAAATTTTGTTCGAATATTCAAATATCGAATAATATTCGAAAGTCGAAATTCTCAAATATTCGACTATCGAATATTATTGTGAATTGATTATTTCGAATCGAATATTATTCGAATATTTGATATCATTCGTTATTCGAATTTCGAATATTATTCGGTTCTCGGATGTTATTCAATTTTCAATTATCATTCGATTTCCAAATACTATTCGAATAACTTATGTCAGTGAGACTGCCTATGAGAGACCAAAATATCTAAGAATAGAGTAAGTGTCAAGAACAGACATTTTTAATGTTACAATTTATGATGAAAAAACGGTTCAGTGGTGACATGAAGAGATTTGAGAACTTATGAGCGTACTCCTCTGACGGTTGTGGAGAGATTCTTCGACTTTGAAGAAGGTTTACATCTTCATTGAGAGTTGTGGATTGGTATACAGGGGTCCCGCTTGGAATCAAAAAGGTGTACCAAAAAGGCTGAAAACTTGATAAAATTTTTGAAGACACTCATTACGTATAGAATTTGCACTAAACCGTAGTGCTTTTATTACAATCTGTGCTAGGTACACTAACAAATGTTTTTCAACGCTTTCCAAAAACGTGATTGCATTTGAAAAGCTTGAAAACTCGTGCGTAGTGAAATTAGCAAACTTAAAACTCTGCTACGAAGATTTTTGGTCCTCTTTGGGGATATTCTTTTGAATGTCCTATTTCGCACTTGCTCTATATACTGGAAGTTCCTACCGTGATAACACAATAAGAAAAACATGGGTGATTCGCTCTCTGCTGTATTTGTAAGCTGAATCCATTTCTACAGGATGTTACCCACAGGTTGGCAGAAGACTTCGTGAGGTATTAGCGATCAAACAGTGTGTAGTAGGTACTCTTGGACACCTCGTATATGTTGTGGATATCGAATTTCCGAATATTCGATGCTCATCGAATCGAATAGTTAAATTCTATCGAATTTTCGAATATTCGAATATTCGACGATGAGCACCGAATAATCGAATTAATGACCATCGAGTATTTTACTATCGAATAATATTCGGAAACTGAGATTTTCGAATATTCGATTATTGAATACTATTCTAAATTTTTGATTTTCGAGTATTCGAATTTTAGGACCATTCGCATTCGAATGATTTGTTCCAATATTCGAATAATCATTCGATTCGGTCCAAAGTATAGCGCATAGGCGTTGAAACAGATAAACCATTTGCTTCAAACGCCTAGGCGAAGCCTCTAAAAGCGGACATCGCGCGCGAACGGCTCAAAGGCCTACATCCCTTTTCCTCCGTATCCTCAAATAAGTCCGTTCCAGGACACATACTACGATGCCGTCGACACACTGGATATGCTGGGAATGGAAAATGCGATGAAAGCCATGGTCAAACTAGGCCATCCAGAGCTGATTGAACAATGTCGACTGTACGAACGCGAGCTCAATAAGGAAGACGAACGTGCTGAGAATAGTGACGACGATGCAAACGCTCGAATGCGGTGAGTTTTTTTGGATAGAATAATCTTCTTGTGGTTGAAATCCAATTGATAATTTCACTTGTTTATCTCCATGTCACATCTGAATTCCTTCTAATCAAGGCCTGGCACCAGCTGGCGCAGGAGGCAAGCTGGATATCGTTTTTGGGACAAAAAGCAGAGGGAATATCGTTTTTGCCAACAAATTGCTACCTTTTTTTAGTCGACGTTTCGTTTTTGGGTTTTTTTAGGTTTAGGGTTTGGGATCAAGGGGGACTTCGTAAAACTTAGCGGAAATCAAGGGGACTTCGTTTTGAAAATTCCCTGGTGCCAGCTCGTGCCGAGCCCTGCTTCTCATTGTCGGTATCGCGTAAACCGGCAAAATTTGTTGGCGAAGATGTATTCGGAAAAGTAGCTTTCCATGTTTTCTGCCTATGTTTTTACTGTCTGTTTGAATAAGTCCGTTTCCGTAGGAACAGGGGAATTGAAATCAGTGCCTCCCTTCTGGAGGTTGCGTTGTACCTTTGCAATTTGTATTAGTTTGGAGCGAAAGTTCGTTCGCACCAATTTTAAATATTTGGACCGAAAGTTCGTTCGCACCAATTTCAAATATTTGGACCGAAAGTTCGTTCGCACCAATTTCAAATATTCATAACTCTTTGAATTCTCAACGACTTTGTAAGAGCAAAATTTTGCCTAAGAGAGGAACTCATGCTCTTTGCATCTGTAGCTGAACTGTTCGTTAATGTATACAAATGAAGAAGATAGAAACTCAAAACCAAAATCACTCAAAATTTGAATTTTTCGTGTAAGGTCATAAAAAATCGGAAACCTGTAACAAAAATCGGAGCAGTCGGGTATTGTAGGTTCTTTCACCAGCTCTTTCCAACAGTGCAAAGTTTGTGCCGATAGAGCGTCTCTGTGAAAAGTTATGATTTCCCTTAAAAATGCCAAAATAATTCAAATTCGCCCTTTTGTATTGCTTGCTCATAATCATATTTCGTAAAGGCGCTCAATCGGCGCAAACTTTGCACTGTTGGAAAGAGCTGGTGAAAGAACCTACAATACCCGACTGCTCCGATTTTTGTTACAGGTTTCCGATTTTTTATGACCTTACACGAAAAAATCAAATTTTGAGTGATTTTGGTTTTGAGTTTCTATCTTCTTCATTTGTATACATTAACGAACAGTTCAGGTACAGTTGCAAAGAGCATGAGTTCCTCTCTTAGGCAAAATTTTGCTCTTACAAATTCGTTAAGAATTTAAAGAGTTATGAATCTTTGAAATTGGTCCGAACGAACTTTCGGTCCAACCTAATATATCGAGTCAGTCCGGTTTGTGTCGCTTTTTGGACCAATCCACATTTCCTCAGAGTAAAGGAAGGACAACACTCTGTGTATCGTTCAACTCAGAATTTTTTACTCTTTCTGGTAACTGTGCTTCATATTGATTCAGATTTCGATTTAGATTTATTTGCCTCTCATATTATTACAATATGTGGCACCCAAACAAATTGCATTCTTTCAACGTGAGTGATCTTGCTACTCTTTGCCAGTTGCAAGTGCCGAGGTTCTTCTGGGATTCATCTCCCCATCTCATCCTCGGTCGTCCTACTGGACGCTGTTGAAATGGTCCTATTCCAATAGTTCTTTTGACCATTTTATCTCATTTCTATTGGCGAGTTTTCAAGCATAAATCCATTTCCTTACCTTCGCGTAAGTCGCTAAATCTCTCACTTTGTTGACGCCACGTAACCATGAATTCGTCTTCTTGTCTATAAGGCGACTGCCAACCATCTTCGCTCTATACGTCTTCCAGCAGCACTAAGCTGTTTCTCCCTTCGTCATTGTCCATGTTTCGGCACCGTACAGAATCGCAGGAAGAATACATGAATTAAACAATTTCCGCTTCCACTTCATTAGCACTCTCTACCTTATATTGGTCAAAAATTTGCCATCAGCATGTATACGTCTTGACATCTCTTTGTTATCATTACGGGGAAGTGAAATAGACTGTCCAAGATAAATATAAAATTCCACTTGTTCGATGGTTGCGCCTCCCAAACTGATTGTTACTGGCGTACGTGCAAGCACTTTGGTTTTTAAAGGATTGATCTTGAGACCGCTCTTGCGTGAATAAATATCCAGGTTGTTTATCATCTCTTATAATTCATCTCCACTTTTTGCAAACAAGACGACGTCATCAGCAAAACGAGGATTCGTGAGCTGATTACCATTTATGTAATAACCATAGTTGTTCCAGCTGATTTTTCGAAAAACATGTGCAAGTGTGGCTGTGAACAGCTTTGGTGAAAGTGGATCTACTTGTCTCACTCCTCGCTCAACATTTATAGAAACTGACGCTTCACCGACCTTTACGGTAGATTTGGAGCTTGTATAGATTTGACGAAGAAGATTGTTAAGCTGCCAGTGGACTCCTTGTTCTTCAAGAGCAGTCCAAAGTCCATTCAATTCAACGGTGTCAAATGCTTTTTCGTAATCTACAAATACCATGAAAAGTGGCAAATTGTACTCACTTGTGCGTTCAATCATTGATGGCATGTATGATCAACCGTTGAATAATTTCTCCGGAAACCTGCTTGTTCCCGTGGTTGTTCTTGGTCGAGAAATCTTTCTAATCTTTGATTGATGACTTTGGCAAGCAACTTATAGAGAACCGGAAGCAAAGAGATTGGGCGGTAGTTGCGTAATTTATACGGATTTCCCTTTTTGTAGAGTAAGATGGTCACTGAATCTGCCATCTTCGCTGGCACCTCCGGAGTGGAGACACTGATTAAATAGCTGTGTGATCAAGGGAATAAGCTGTTCTCCTCTTTGCTTAATTATCTCTACGGTGATGCAATCGTGTCCAGGTAACTTGCCTGCTTTCATCGAATTCAGTGCCATAGTCATTTCATCTTGCAAAAACGGATGGCAGGTTTATTGTGAGTTGTGCGGAGTATATAATATATCGACAGCTCGAGTATATAGACTTTCAAAATAAGAACCAACTATTCTGCAGATCTCTGATTCATATTGATACTTTTGACAATTGCTGAGATAGTTCACAATGTTTTTAGCCATCGTTTTGACTTCGTCTAGATCTTGCTAAGTTTCAAACTCGAAATTTTTTTTGAAGAATCATGAAACTAGTGAACCAAAATCTTTGCAGAGGATGCATTTCTTGCCTTTCTTCAAGCGTTTCATAAATATTGCAAATCCATTTCGATCAAATTTCATACTCAGTTTATCCAAAACCTTGAACATTAACCAATAAGCAACTCATGTAGTAACCAGTGCATGTTCTCTTCCTCTTTCCTACCGCTAATTTTTCCATGTTATATGAGAAAAATTACCTTATTTCAATTTTACGAATGCCGGTTACTACTAATTTTCAAATCTCGATTTTCGAGGTGATTGTTCATTCATTTTACAAATCAAATTTAGTCGTAATAAGATCAAGTTTCTTCAGACGTTGGAAGTTCCAACGTCTGAAGTTTTTTTTAGTTGTTTGCTTAGATTATAGATTGCGCCTTAAAATTTTTGAAAAATTATATCGAAAAACTCTGGCAATGAGATGTCTGTCGAAAAGATGCGACGGAAGCATTGCTTTGCAAAAGCTTGGCTGTATGTACTGAATATTGTCTTCTTCAGAAGTGCGAATTGAAATTTTGCTCAATGTAGAACGGACTCTATCTTTTTGCTTGAAAAAAGAGAGCATCAGTATGCTTCTATGATTTATTTTTAACTAGTTGGCTTCCCCGGTCCAGCCCGGGCCATTGGTTACCTGCACTGCAAGCCCCCCCTCTTATACGTTATGGATGACTTACCCTGGGACATCCGCGTCGATACCGCATCCTCGTGATCCTGAGGTGAAAATGAGCTTCACCGCCCTCCTTCACATGACTATGGGAAAATGCTTGATCAAACATGATAAGCCTTCAATTCCCTAGAAAAACGTAACAATTTAATGAATCGATAGAGGGGCTCAACGAATCGCCGCAAAAAGTAGCCTATCATCTGCGCAGGGGTCGAAAACATGTGTGTGCAAAGTTTCAGCTGAATTCAGTTGAACGGCGCGCCTTTCTATAACGCACATAGCCTCCAAACTGTTATATACACTTGGCTTTCCCGGTTCAGCACGGGTCATTGGTCACCTAATTTGCGAGCTCCCCCCCCCCCCTTCTTATATGTTATGGATGACTTACTTGGGACCCGCTTCGAACCGCATCCTCGTGATCCTGAGATGAAATGAGCTTCACCGCCCTCCTTCACATGACTATGGGAAAATGCTTGATTAGACATGATAAACCCTCAATTCCTTAAAAGAACGTAAACAAATCAATAAATTGATAGAAGGGCCCAACGAATCGCTGCAAAAAGGACCCTATATCTAGCAGGGGTCGAGAACGTATGTGTGCAAAGTTTCAGCTGAATCGGTTGAGTGTTCCTCGCGTCTCTATAACGCACATGGCGTCCATACTCACAGTTTTGAGTTTTATGTATACAGGGTGTCCCAAAAAATGTATCGAACGTTTAATCTTTAACAACTTCCCTACGCGGATCTTTGAGTGTCGTACGGTAGAGCTGGGTTCAACTTAGGATATAATATAGAACGAATCACCGAGTTTTTTTAGTTACTGTAGGATTACGGTAGAAATTTTTAACTAATTTTAAGCTTACGAAGTCGAGAGCTATTTCTAAAAAATTGCAAAACAAACCGAAGGACTTAAACTGAGGTTTTCGGGAATGCTGAATCTAATCAAGAAGTTTTCCGCTACGATAGTCCTCATCTTCCTACGATGTGCGCACTGTAACGCTTTGGCTAACGCGAAGGCTTTTGACGATGTGTTTGTAATTGCAGCGTTGATTCAGTAATTTTTGGAAAAAAGGAAGCAATTCAGCGTTACAGTGCGCCTACCGTAGAAGGATGAGGAGCACGGTAGCGGAAAACTTTGCAATTAGATTTAGCACCCCCGAAAACTTCAATTTATTTGTTTTGGAATTTTTCAGAAGCAGTTCTCGCCTGTCAGAAGCTTAAAATTAGTACAAACTCGCAAAGTAATAATCCTAGAGTAACTAAAAGAAATCAGTGATTCGCTCTATACTGTAAGTCTAAGTTGAACATAGCTCTACCGTTTATCACTTAAAGATCCGCGAAAGCTTTCATGTAGGGAATTTATTAAAGATCAAACGTTCGATACATTTTTTGGGACACCCTGTATATATTAGGTTGTTCGGAAATTAGCCTGTTTTGAATTTCAACGCAATAATACACTTCTCATTTCTAAATAGGTTGCAAAGTACCATTCGATAGAGCAAAGCAAGCTCTACAAGGTGACTATCATGCTTTTGCAACAGCTCTCATCAATTTCGAGTTTGGAGCCAAAAACTAAAAAACTCAGCAGCCAGCAAAAAAATCGTAACTCAGTTCATAAAAACTTTACAAAAATTCTTACTTGCTCACGTAAACACTATCCACATAATACATCTATATACGCCCTCGCCGATTCTTTTCCTCTGTTAGAAACCGAGAAAATGGAAATTTTCATGTCTTTGCTAAACTGGTGCTGTGCCGTTCGCACATAGATAGTTGTATACTACAAACCTTTAGAAGTACAAACGTAAATTTCCAGCTTTCTACAAGGTTTAGTTCGCGAGAAATATCGGATACAGTTTTCCCTAGTCATGTCGTCCACGCTAAAATTCAAATTTCTCGCGAACTAAAGCTTGTAGAGAGCTGGAAGTTTACTTTTGTACTTCTAAAGGTTTGTAGTATACGACTACCTATGTGCGAAAGGCACAGCACCACTTTAGCAAATGCACGAAAATTTCCGTTTTCGGGATTTCTAACAGAAAAAATAGGGCAACGGCGTATATAGATGCCTAACGTGGATTGTGTTTACGTGAGCAAGTTAGAATTTTTGTAGGACTTTTACGAACTGAGTTGCGGTTTTTCTCAATTTTTCGGGCAGTTGAATCCTTTTAGTTTTTTTGGCTCGAAACTCACGGTGGATCAGAGCTGTTGCTAAAGCAAGACAGCCATCTTGTAGAGCTTGCTTTGCTCTATCGAACAGTCCCTTGCAACCTATTCAAAAATGAGAAATGTATGACTTATTGCGGTTGGAAATCAAAACCTGCATTAATTTCCTGACAACCTAATAGATTACTGTTTGCTAAAAATAGTTATCACTGTTTTGATAAACTTCACATTGCTGCAGCAACCGTACCCATTATTCGGGATACCGCTCACCTAGCGGTGTACCTTCAATTTCTCAAAGAAATCCTGAGTAGTGATGTTCTGAAGCATCGTGCTGAAGCCGATTGGTGATGCGTAACACTGATAAGCCCTTAGAATTCTTTCAAAACTTGTTGAAGGCTTGTTTACCGAAAGTCTATCTTCAGAGCTTCTTCTCAGCAAACAATGCACGACAACGACAGACGTTCAGTAATGAGACGACGTCATCAAGAGGCTCGGCAGCGACAAGAGGAACACATCGCGTTTTCTCAGAGTCGGAATATGTTTGCTAAAGAAAAGTGAGTTTTGCTGTGGATGATTTTTTCTTCGAGGACCACGACACGGCATAATTTCTATGCAGTTTGTTATTCTGCCTTCAAATTCACTCAGACATTCATTAGTCGCTCTAAAAATTATCCCATACATTGAGTCGTTTCGAAGGTAAATTTGCTTTTTCTAAGGGGGTGTAACATTCCGCAGAACATGGGTCCTGGAAAGATCTTCTGCATCTTTTCATTCTCTTTTGAACGGTCATGTTTCTTTTGCAGTTCAGACAACATCTATAAATCACCAAAAACTACAAACCAGTGGTTCTTGCCATGCTCAAGTTTCGCTACTTTTCTGAATTTTTGTGTTAGTTCCTCAAAAAAGTCCATGTAACATTTGGATAGAGTCCCTGCAGGGTACAGAACAATTTTTTTGCGTCTATAACTTGCTTTTCAGAATTTTCAAAGCTAATTTTTTGTTGCTATCATTTCTTCACCTCTGCTTCGCAGAAGCTCGCACGGCGCTACTTCCTGTATGTTTTACTCATTCCCGCCTAATAATGACATTGAAACTCACCGCGCTATGTAGGCTATTATCTACGAATAATTCGTAAACAGCTACTCATTCCTAGAGGTTTTTCGTATGAGATCGATATTTTTGCGTGGATTAAATCTTTCCCAGAAGAACAGATGCAGATTTGAATAGGTTTTTAGAATTTTTATGGCTTGATAGTCGCCATAAGGACAATAAACATCGTGGGCTTCATTTCTCCGCAAAAATCTTCTCAAATGATCAGGTAAAATCTTGAAAAATTGCCCGTTTACGCAGCGAATGTTTTTTGGCGCTGTTTTCGTAAAGTAGTAGACTTTTCATCACTGGTCAAATATATCCTTAACTCTGCAAAAAGTACTACGGACCCAAATTTGTTGGCCAGAAGCCAAGTGGATCCGTTTAACGCGCAATTTTCAACGAATTCACTCAACGGATCCGCTCATGCTTTTGTATAGTGAGCTTTCATGCTGGTAGCCTGCGCTATGCAAAATTTGGGCTCAGGGCTTGGGCTGGAACACGATCTACGAATCTCGTGACAGACAGAGATCCACACACACAGTCAACGTAAGCAACCCTTAGCCCGTTATTACAAGTTGTGGTTTTATATCAACTCAATCCTCATAGCATGTCGACCGGCGATTACCTCGGATGTCATTCGATGCAGCATTTTTTTCTCTTTTTTAGCAGATGTTTTTTGTTTCCTATTAAGTCTTCGGGATAAAATCATCATAATTCATGTTTTTGAGCGTTTTCTAGGATGTATCCGCAAATTACGAGATTTGATATATCCATCCGCAATTTTGCTTTATGAAATTGCGTTTGAATCACAATATATTCGTGGAAATTTCGGTATTTTTCCGTTATCTGGACCAATTTTTTCAAAGAAGGTATTTCTTCTGACCTTGTACGGATGCAATGCAGGAGGAACCAAAGGCCTGCCGCCCGCAGCCGTAGGAGATAATTAGGAGCGCCAGCGCTGTGGAGGACATTTTGGCAGGGGTCCAGGAACAATTAGCGAGGCTTCTTGGAATCAACTTTCAAGGACAAAAAAGATTTGGAATCGGTCTTCAAAGGCGCATTTTTCAGTAATACTCCTACCGTATAGATAAACAATTCTGTCTCGGTACTCGAGTTTTAAACTAACCAAAACCTGAGCCCTCAAAATTCGCCGTTAAAAGCTGACTTTCAAGTCCAATGATGTGTGAAAGATTTTAAGTGAATTTTTTAGCGAAATTTCTGGATTTGAAGTTGAGTAGTAAATGTTAATCAGGAAATAATTCAACAAAGTTGCATGTGATGAAATTCTACTACTGTGCATAACCTCGAAAATATTACCGACATAGTTTCAATGGCAATTCCTATAGAATCTTTAGGGTCAAAATTTAGAATTAGTATTGCATATTGACCCAAGCCTCCAAACGTGTTTTTATAACATTTGACTAGTGAACCAGTAATCTAAAGGTGCTATTTGGAAGAGCGTTCGCTTTGGGACCGCCACGTGGCTTCTCGCTATTTGCAGATTTTTGACTTGAGTTAACGATTCTTTATCTATTAGATATTGCTTTAGTTCATTGACTCAAAAGGCAAACTATTCCTTTATCTCAAAGAAAAAAGAATGAATTTCGAATGAAAATTACGGTCCTCAGCAATTTGAAACTTCAAAACTCATAAAAAACGTTTCTTCAAAGAAGTTGACTTTTCCTACCACTACAATTATCTCCCGCAGATATAGGCGGCAGCCCTTTGGTTCCTCCTGCACCATCCCCCCCCCTTGTACCGTATTTGGTCCCAAATTAACAGAAAGAAGTGTTAACTTCTACCAAGTGTCAAAAAAATTGGACATGTCATCTACACGTTTAACAGGTTTTACCAACGGTTTCTTTTTTACCTATGACGTAAGTACAATCTCTATATTAGTCAATAATGACCCCATTTTCAAATAAACATTTTGAAAATGTCACAATAATAACGTCATTCTGTTATCATTGGACAGGATACAGGGTGTCCCAAAAAGATGTGCACACTGTTTGATTGTAAATAACTCTCTTGTAGTGAAGTGTTTCGAGAAGCTTTAGGTACCATTTTGTAGAGCGAGGTTCAACTTAGACTTACAGTGTAGAGCGAATCGCCGGTCGTTCATTCTTACTGTAGGAGTACGGTAGAAACTTCAAACATATGGTGTCACTGTGAAAAAAGGGTCCGTTTCAAAAATTTTCAAAAAAATGTGGAAATTTGTGTAATAGGGTTTTTATGGATCCGGAGTTTATTACCCAACTTTCTACAAGGTTGAGAAGCTTTCTAAACGGTGTAACCGCACTTTTTAGGTACACTTAAAAAACGTTTGCTGCTGCTTACCTCGCATAATTTTTTAATGAAGCATTATGAAGAGTTGCGAACTTCACAATTAGAATCAGCAACTCTATTTAGCCCAGTGTGAGAGTTTTCAGATTGTTTTGGTTTTTTTTGGAATAAAATATGGCCTTTCATGGCTCAAAACCCTCTTCAAAGTTTCTACCGTAATCCTACAGTAAGAATGAGAGATCGGCGATCCGCTCTACACTGTAAATCTAAGTTGAACCTCGCTCTACAGAATGGTACCTAAAGCTTCTCGAAACACTTCACTACAAAAGAGTTATTTACAATCAAACAGTGTGCACATCTTTTTGGGACACCCTGTAGAATTGCCCAGAATGAAAGAGTGCGCTAGGATTTCATTATCTAAGCGTCGAAACAAGCAGTAGCGAGATACTGCAAGCCATCGTTTATGGTCTCTCCTAGCTAAATTCGCTTGTCGGGAACTGAAGAGAAGGAAGAGGAAGAGGAAAGAGGAAAGGAGGAAAGAGAGGAAGAGGAAATCTTAAAATCATTGCTTAAAGTGATCAAGATGTTGATAAATTCTAGACAACATTGCTTTTATGGAAAACAGTTGAAGGGCTTTCAGTTAGTCACAAATGCCCTTTTACCTCACCGGAAATGGTTTCGAAAAAAAAGTCAAAATGGACTAAAACGTGCTAATTTTTCCCCCCACACAAGGCGGGGAATCAGTATTTGTAGAATCTACGGAAGACTGTTTTCAAAATGAAGACGTAATTTATGAGAGCTATGGAAAAAAGGAAGTACTTGTTTTGTATTTTATATTCTCTATTCACATTATAGTTCTTCGAAGGAATGGTAAGAGTTCAAAAAATGGCGCGATTTTACCATGGCAGAAACCATGGGTCGTGATTTTTGGCCATTTTCTGGGAGCTCGTCGGTAAGACTGGCACTAGGAAACAACCATTCTAAAGAGCATAAGAATCTGCAGCTCCCAAAATCTTCTCAGAACCCTTCTGCGAGATGTTACGCGTGTTCCAAAAAACGTTTTTACTTTCGGAATGATCTAATATAAAGCTAACCCGTTGGTCTGTATGTACGAACTGTCTGTCTGTCTGTGTCTGTCTATCTATCTATCTGCCTGTGTGCGTGTACGTATGTTCCAAGTAGATCCATTTCTGAACCAGTCCGAACCAAACTTTGCATACATACACTTCGCGACGGGGCAGTTGTCGTAAATCACTTTTCGCCATTGATCGGTATCGATTTTATCGATTTCTTGCCAAGTTAGACCTACGAGGCTGGGAGTTGGTACAGAGGGCTAAGTGAGCATGCTGATTACGAATACAAAATTAGTTTTTGATCTTCGATCCATCTATCAATCTTATTGAGTTTTTGCCAAGTTTGAGTTACGGAGCTGGGAATTTCGTACGGGGAGCTGAGGGGCCTGACGTGCATCAGTCAGTTTCATCGCTTCACGATTCTTTCAACAGGAGCACTGTTACGAGTCTATTGCATGTCGCATCTTGGATGTCGTTTGCGAGAGCTCAGACATTAGTGGCTAAGTCTCGCAAGAGTCCAGTAAGAAATTCACGAAAAGATGCCTTGCGCAAGAACCCGATTCTGTCCTGAACTTAGAGCGGGACGATGAACTTGCGTGATATATGCCCAGCCCTAAGTTCGGGACAAAATCGGGTTTTCGCGCGAGACTACCGTTTTAGTCTCGGAATGATATCCACGAAATTCCATAATGGAGGAAAATGGGCTTTCAAACCCCATTTTGTTCGTTCGCGGTAGAAACTGGTCGGAATCTGCTTTCGCTAGCGTCATCCAAAAATTTTTTCATCGCAACCACGAGGCAAAGCGGTGTCGTGAAAATGATTCAACGCTATCTGAGCTTTCGCTTGCGAAACAATCATGCGAAAAGTCCATTTAGAATGGGGGAAAATGGGATTTACCCCCATTCTAAATGGAGTTGAAAGCCCATTTTACTTCCAGCAGCAAGGTGAGCTAGGAGTAAACCCATTTTTGACCTTTTTGCGTATTTTTTATTGCGATTTTTGAGGATGTGTTGCTTAGCCTATATTGAGGTAATAAGAGAATGGAAAAAGTTTTGTGCCTTTTATGAAATCTGAAATACATGTTTTTTTTCTATATTCATACAAAC